TTTCTTTTTTTGAGTTTGCCTTCGATGTTAGGAAACAAAGCAAGGCGGACATGGCATATCGTGTCTTTTTTTGAAAGAGAACAAACACCAAAAGCTTAGTCGCGCTTCGGTGGTTATATTTCAGGACTTCCCCCGATCGGTCTCGTCGTCGTCGTCCATCGTGAACCCGGCGGTTGCACCCAGTGCCAGTCTGCCGGGGCCACGGCCGCGCCCCGCGAATCCGCCGCGGCCGCCGCCCCTCGCCATCCCCATGCTCAGCCCCAAGCTCATCCTCGCCTACGGTGCAGGGCGCTCGCCACCTCAGGCGACAGCGGTGAAGCTCCTCCTCTCACCGGCAGCCTTGCCACCTTCGCTGGCGCTGGCGCGGGCGGCGGCACAGCGCTCGCGGCGGCGAGAGAGGCGCCGTCAGCGGCGGGCACGGCGGGCACGGCGGGCGCGACGGGGCCGGGCGCAGCGGGGACGTCGTTCGAGGCGGCGGCGGCGGCGGCGGCAGCGGCGGCAGCGGCGGCGGCGGCGGCGGCGGCGGCGGCAGCCATCGCCGGGTCCTCCTTCTCCCTGCGCTTCTTTGGCTTTGTGTCCTTGGCCCTCGCGCGAAGGGCCTTGTCCGCCTCGCGCATCTCCTTGAAACGCTTCTTGTGGTGGTGGTCGTACGAGGAGAGGTGGTTCTCCCACTCCGTCACCTTTGGGCACGGCTTTCCGAGGGTCACACGAGCCGAGGAGAGGAGAGCGGTCCCCCGGGGGAGGTGGTCTACGCGCTGTCGCGACGTTCACCTTGTGGTACTGCTTGTCGCACACCTCGCAGTAGAAGCACGAGACCTCCGCCTCGCGCGCCGCCTTGATGGCGCCCTGCCGCTCGTTCTCTGCGATTCGCGCCGCCGCCTCGCCGTCGCTCTCGGCAAGGATCCGCTCGCTCATGCTCGCCTTGGGGCGTGAGGACGCGGGCTCTGAGGCGGCGCATGCAGCTCCGTGCGTGGCCAGAGCGTGGAGGGCGATCAATACCAGCCCCAAGCGCGTGGATGCGATGGGGAGACCGCCGGGTGCGTTGATTCGCGGGAGGGATGCCGCCGGCTGCGTGTGATCGCATGATGCATGGTTGGGAGGCTCGCCTTGCGCGTCTCGGTCGCCTGCCGCGCCTGCGCCGCGTACTCGCTCTCTTTGCCCAGCCTGCCGGGCTCACGGGGGTGAGAGCGGGCAGCCCGGCCCACGGGCGAGCCCCGGGGGGGGGGGGGGTGTCACCCCGACGTAGCCCCAAAGTACTGCGCGCGCAGCGCCACCGGCTCGAGGCGGCCGTCAGACTTTCGGCCGAGTCCCTTGCCGCTCTGCGGCGGGGGCGGCGGAAGGGTGGCGGCGGTGGTGGAGTGGCGGCGGCGGGGGCGGCGGCGCGGGTGGTGTGGTGGCTGCTGTGGCGACAGTGTGGTGGCTGTGGCGGCGGTGGCGGCGGTGGCGGCTGTGTGTACCTCCCACCCGAGCTTGAGAAGGAGCAGGTGCCCTCTGTTCCACGCGGGCAGCGGCCGCTCGAGCGAGGCCTGGCTCACGCCCGTGTCGTCGAACGACTGCCGCAGCGCCTGGTCCGTCCCGCCGCCCGCCGCCAGCCGCCGGTCCTCCTCGCCCGCCAGTGCCTCCCAGTCGCTGTCGCGCGCCGCGAGGGCGGCAGCCACGGACCCGCTCGCAAAGCGCGCCGCCAGGCCACCGAGCCCGCCCTCCACGTCCTGCCACCGCTGATACACCGTCGCCCGCATCTCGCCACCGCTGGCTGCGGCCGCCGCCGGCGCCACGGAAACAGGCAAGGGCGGCGGCGGCTGCCGCTGCAGCAGCTGCGGCGGCGTAGGAAGCGGTGGTGGCGGCGGCTCGTCGAGTGCGGCAGTTTGCGGCGGCGCTGAAGAGAAGCGCGACGGCGCCGTGGCGCTGCCGGAGGGGGGCGGCGCCGCAGAGAATCGCGACCGTGGCAGCTCTGGAGGCCTGCGCCTGCTGCCGCTCCGGCTGCGCCTGCGCTCCCCGCTGCGGCTGCGGCTGCGGCTCCGGCTGCGGCGCCAGCGCCGCCGGTCCCGGGCACGCCTGCTGCTGCTTCGGCTGCGGCTCCGCTCGTTGCGGCTGCGGCTGCGGCTGCGCCTGTCTCGGCGACCGTGCCGCTGCGGCGGGCTGCGCTCGCGATCGCGGCCGCGCTCTCGGCTGCGTGAGCTCGGCATCTAGCGCGCACGCCCTTCAAGTGCCTCTATAGACCTATCGTACTCTCGTCGCTCACAGCGCCGGCGTGCCGGAGAATTTCTCCCAACACTCCAACTGCCCCCAAACAAACCACGCGCGGCGCCGGCGGATCTGCGAGTGAGAGTGGCAGGGGGCTCTCGCATGAGTCGGAGGAACCCCCTCCGGTCTCACATGTCGGGACGTCGCGATCGCGACCGCGACAGCGCGAGTGCCGAGTGCAGTCCCCGAAACTGAGACTGTGATCTGGCGGCGTATAGAAGAGTCAGAAAACTGTGTGGCACGCAACGAAATTGTTTTCGCCCTCCCTGGACGCGTTTGGGTAGGAATCCTAATCGCGCGAAAGGCACGAGAAGGGCGTGAACTGACAATCCCTGGGACCCCGTGTTGCGTGACTCTGTGCGATTTCGGGCCCGGGGTTGTGCGTTTACGTGAACTGACAAAAAAACAAAAAGAACAACAAGGCGCGATGGATTGTCACGCCGACAGCTCTCCTTCGAGTTGGTTGGTCTTCGCCGCGGCTCGCCTCACACACGAGCTGCTTGAGCGTTTCAGGTACGCAAGCCCGGCCGCCCCGCGACTCCCCCATGCGCTACGCAGCTCTCGTACTGGGATGATCAACTCTGGCCCATTCATACTTCTCTCTCTGAGCATGCTCACCAGAACCTCGCATCGCCTGACGCCGACGCTTCGCCTCACAGGTGCAAAGAACTGGTTGCCCGACGCGCGAAGGTTCCTTTCGAACAGCTCATGTTGCGCCTCTATCTCGTCCTCGCGTGTCTAGCTGGCGACGCACGCGGCTCTTCCGAGGGGTCCCAGATCCTTGAGCGCTTTGCCGATGAGTACACGCGCCTCAACATCTCCGCCTCTGTCGACTCCCCGCCGAGCCGGCTCGAGATGATGACGGCAGTCGTGGATCGTATGTCCACAGCCGAGCTGATTGACAGCGGCCTCTGGCTCACGGATGACGAGATCGATGACGAGCTCGGTGTTGCTCACCACAAGCAGGACGGCGAACACTTCGGCTCCGGCAGGCGCCTGAATCGTCTGGTGGAGCCATACTCTGACATCCACTCCAACGCCATCGTACACAAAGGAGGTGAGGTCTACTACTGCTTCGACGGGAGTGCCGATTCAACCCGCAGGAGCGCCTTTGAGAAGGCGGTCAATCGTGCCGAAGTAGAGATCAATCAACTCGGCTTCTGTCTCACTTTCGTGCGCACGTATGCATGCGATCATTCGGCGATTACGGTCGGCCGGTACGATGACGACAGCTGCCACGTGAATTCGCCCTGGGACGGCGAGGGGATCAAGCTCAACATGGGGTGGTGCAATGATGATACCCGTTTGGGTGACATCGTCCACGAGATTGGGCACGCTCTGGGTCTCGGGCACACGCACAAGCGTCCCGACCGCGACGCGTATGTGATCATTCACTACGACAACATTGTATCCGACCAGCATCATCAGTACACGATCGACGAAGATTACTCCACCCATCTGCCCTATGACTACAACAGCATCATGCACTACCCGGCGATCGGGGGCTTTGCAATCGACCCGTCGAAAAACGCGATCTCGACCAAAACCTCCGATGCTCGCATTGGGCGGTCGACCGGTGGCTTTTCCCTGACCGACGCGCGCCAGATCCGCGACATTTACGGCTGCTCGGAAACGTGTTGCAGCTCGCTGATTGTCAGCCTCTCTGGCGCTGCTTCCAGCAACCAGGGCAGCCGGGAGGACGTTTACACCATCGTGCCCGGGTTGTCGCAGGGCGGCATGCCAGTGTACAAACAGGGGTCGGGTTCCAACTACCTTTACTACTGGCCCGAATTCACCGATTGGCGCATCGGCTCTGACTACTTAAAGGCATCAGCTGGCATCATTTCCCTCGACAACAAGCTACAGTGCCCGCAGCAGGCTTCCACCTGGGCGTACTGGGATTCCGACAACTTCGTGACCAGCGCCGGCGTTTCTGTCAAGTGCTCCGTCTTGGAGAGCTACGTGCTCGTGACGAGCGGGACTTGCAATGATGTCCCAGGGCGCGCGCGCATCACGAGCGCGTTCGAATGCGCACAGGCGGCTCATGAGCTTCGCCCCTTTCTAAACGGCTATTCCGATGCCGACGTCACCCCAACGGTCCAAGAGGGCTCTGCTTCGGACGACCCCCCGGGCTGCTGGTTTGAAGATGAGTGGTTCGGCGATGATTTGTACTTCAACCCCGGCACACAGACGGGCGATTGCTCCACGGACGACAAGTGCCTCTGTCGATTCCACACGCTCCGGCCGCCGTCTCCGCCGCTCCCGTCTCCGCTTCCGCCTCCTCTCGTGGTCGCCGGTGGCGGAGATTGCGTCCCCGATCTCGATGACGTGGAGTATTACGCCGCCGGGTTCACTGCATCGGGCGCTCCGTACTATCGTCACCCATCGTCCGTATTCTACATCTACTGGGACCCCGACTGCTACGGCGACGGATCGGGATCTGCTCGTTGGATCGTGGACAACGATGCACCGAGCACCACCGCATCGAGCGACCTCGATGGCGACAGGAGCTGCAACTACTGGGCCCATCGCATCTCTGCCGACTCCTCGTCGCCCCCGCTCGGCACGAACACCTGGCCGGTGTGGTGCTACGGCTCCTGGGCACAGCTAGACCTAACACTCTCAGCGCCATCTCCATCACCTCCCCCTCCACCGCCGCCCCCTCCGCCTTTTGTTGTCACGGGGGGATGCAGTTCTCTCCTTGCCAACGTGGAGTACAACGCAGTCGGCTACACCGCCTCAGGAGCGCCGTACTATCGCGATTCTTCGTCCTTGTACTACATCTACTGGGACCCCGACCCCGACGGTGACGGATCGACAGCCCGCTGGATCGTGGACAATGATGCACCGAGCACAACCGCAGCGAGCGACCTCGATGGCGACGGGAGCCGCATCTACTGGGCTAGCATCTCTTCTGCCGACTCCTCCTCGCCCCCGCTCGGCACGGCGACCTGGTCGATGTACTGCGACGGCTGGACGAACAACGATCTGACGCTAACATCTTCGGCATCACCGTCGCCGCCACCACCTTCCGCGTCACCGTCGCTGCCACCACCTTCCGCGTCGCCATCGTCGCCGCCGCCTTCTACCTTGCCGTCGCCGCCGCCCCCGTCGCCGCCACCCGCCGTGTCGCCGTCGCCACAGTCAGAAGAGCCAGGCTCATTCCGGGTCGTCGCTTCATTCACCGCAACCCGCGGCGATCTGTACGACTTCTACGACGAGGCCACCAAGAGGAACATCCTCGAGAAGCTCGCCGAACTGGCCGGCTTTGCCTTCGTGCCGCTCGATTCGACGATCGGCGTCTATTCTGCACCTTGCTCTATGGGCACTTGCGCAAACGTGGCCGTGATTGCCACGTTCCCGGTGGTCACGCAATCGGAAGTCAGCTCGGCTCAGAGCAACCTCGAACAGTACTCCGGGGCCGCTGGCCAGGATGCGTTCGAGGAGCAGATGGGACCTATCCTTGCTGGGGTGGGGGCGTCCGTCGAAACTGCCGTCGTGGTTGAGGTCGAAGAAGACCCGAAGCCAACCGCTAGCGGCAGCGGCGGCTCCCCTGTGGTCGCCATTGCAGCGGCCGCGGCTGGGGTGGCCGTCATGGCTGCCCTCGGCGGTGGCTACGTTTACTACAAGAAGAAGCGCCTCCCTAAAGAGCCATCGAACTCGGTGGTGGCCAAGATCAAGCAGGGCGGCACACCAGAAGCGGCGAATGTGTGACGCGGACGCTAGCACCGCCAACGACCTATCTCAAACCACAAACGGTGACGCCTCCTCGGGCGCACCCGTTGATTATGACACCCACGCGCTCCCCGGGCCTGAACTTTGTTGACTACTCATGCCTTTGCCTTTGTCGACTATTCATGACCCTCCCAGAGCGAGAGCACAGCGCGCAGCTGTCGCCGGATACTGTTTGTTTGTACTCAGTACTGTCTCCCGCCCCACGCCGTCCATCGACGCCGTCCACACCGTCACACGGACCTGCAGCTCTATATGTGTATGAGGTGAAGGACACTCTGACCAGTTGCCCTCTATTACTGGACACCAGGCGGTTGCATGGGTGGCAAGAGCCGTTGATGAGACGGTCACACACAGGCGGTCACAAGAAGGCGGGAAGGAATCCGGTAACCCGAAACGGCCGGCCGTCAGAACTTCCGCACGCGCCTCGGTTCGATTGGCCACTGCGTGTCTGCGCGACTCGGGAGCTGTCGGTGTAGCCATGCAAGCGGTTATCGATCCCACCAGGGCAAAGCGGAGCTCGGTCGGGGCCATGGGCGTCGAGGCGCTCAGGAGCTCTGTGGTCGGCCTCAGCAGGCAATCCCGCCGCAGCATGTCCGTCCAAGAGGGCAGGACGCACAAAGGTCACCTGCGCCCGCCAAGGAGCTAGCCAGCTCAAAATTTGCACCAGTTACTTCCCTCCAATCTGTCTGTTCAGGCGGCGAGCCGCGCAGATCGTACTCGGCCCCTGCCCGATGCTCGGATTCGGTACATCCTGAGCCTG